GTTTGCAACTGAGTGTGGAAAGGCAGAACGAGATGAGAGTCCAACGTTGGTAACTGAAAGCATTCTTTGAACAAAAGTGCAGCTAGGATACAGCTGCTTATGTTTTTCCATAGCATTATCTCCTGGCTGCCAGTTATCCAGTGTCAGGCCACAACTGAAGCACTTAACTTTATCCTGCACGCCCATGTAATAGAACCCAGCCCGGGCAAGGCTGCGCTCAGACACTGGCGTGTTCATGGGGAAGGTGGAGAAGGTTGACATTCTGTACAGCTCACAGGACAGGTCATACTTCAGCTCATCACACGGAGCACTCTGCCTCATGATGCTAGCCAAGAAAGGGCTATCTTCCACTATGTTCATAATGGACTGTTTTGGGGAAAATGGGACAAGTCTTCCTCTGGGAGGTAGTTGTGTGCATTAAAGGCAATTTGGAACAAACCCCCCCCACCTGTACAAAAGCAATAAATACTTTAAAGTGTAACTTCAGATGTGCATATGAATAGAATTGACCTCATGATTTAACAGCCTATAAACGTTTGGCAAGTTCTTGTACCTTAGTTTAGCAACTGCTTTCAGTGCAAAAGCTTCCCCATCCCATTTTAACAATTGAAGAAAGCATGTTGAAAAGCAATTTCCATTGACTCATATAAGCATCACATCCTTTACTTGTTCTGTACATCTGGGAGACCAGTAACAATTTGTCAGGCTCGTGGAGGTCAGATCAAAAGAGAAAAAACCAGTGGGTTTATCAAAATCCTTTGTCAATAAAGAAACTAAATTGGGGGGCAATTAAAAGAACAGTGTTCTTATCCAGAACATATGTTAGGTGATTTAAGGACAAGATTTCACCCTAGACAGCTGATAAATATGTAGCTTATACACACACAAAGATTTTAGTTTGTAAAACCTCACTAGAAGGCTGAAAAGAAGGGTTTATCCATTTCAAAGGGCACACAAAAAATAGAGACCCTGAGCTGATGGTACTAAACTGATCTTAGTATATTTGCTACTACTGAACTCCAAAAAAAACACCTCTCAAGTTATGCATATTGCTGTAACAAGGTCATAAGACTAAAGAAGTTAGTTTACACTCAACTTCACACGTATAGAGTATTCAGCTATTAGAGAAACAAATCCTATACACTGTCTCAGACAAGGATGAACTCTCTCTATTAACAAACCTGGGATAGGTTTGTCTACAAGTCAATACCGAATTGACAGAGCACTTCAGTTTTAACCTGGTGCCTTAGTTACAAGAACAGAATTATCAAATTTAACATTAATTAATTGCTTTGTGTTGAGACATTCTGATGCTTTATACTGTTGAATTAAGTTTTGCCTGTATGCCATGTTTATGGCATACAGAAGCAAACAGAACTCTCAGATTTAAAAAAAGAATTTGATGCCTTAGTTTCTTTATTTCTGCACAGAACTACCTCCCAGAGGTAAGACTGAAGTCCCTTCTAAGGTGCCTACGCCTCCATATCGGTACTGACTGTCCTCAAGAAGAAACTGTAAGTATCTGTAGTTTAAATCATTCAAATTTTTGTGGCAGAACAAAACCTGTAAGGAAGAAAAAGAGTATTTTAAAATACACAATGATGAGGTGCATGCAATATCTATGCAAACAACAATTACACAAACTGAAACAGTACAAGCTTTTTGCAATTATAGAACGTTAAGGGCTTAAAGATCATCTAGTCCCAACCCTCCTGCCATGGGCAGGGACATCTTCCAGTAGACCAGGCTGCTCAGAGCCACATCCAACCTGGCCGTGAACATTGCCACTATTGGGGTGTCCACAACCTCTCTGGGCAACCTGTTTCAGTGTCTCATCACTCTCACAGTAAAGAATTCCTTCCTAATATCTAACATCAATTTCCTCTCTTTCAGTTTGTACCCATTACTGCTTATCCTGTCACTACAGTTCCGGACCAAGAGCCCCTCCCTGGTTTCCCGGCAGACCTTCAGACTCTGGCAGGTTGCTATGAGGTCTCCATGCAACCTTCTCTTCTCCAGGCTGAACAGCCCCAAGTTCCTCTGCCTGTCCAATGTCAGCTAGAAAGTTTCAGGGAGTCAGCTTCACACGCTGTGACACAGAGTGATTTCACACACTTCATTTCCCTGTTATTGACGCATATGCAAAACTGTGTAACCCACAAGCAGAATTTTTGGGCAGATGGATTAATCAGGCTACTTAAAGACATTAAGTATTATTAAAGGTAAGATTCCATACTAAGAAGTTGTATCCAGTTCAACTGGTTTAAGCTTGCAGATTCCCAAACAACGAAGACACAGTTTTATAATACTGACGTAAAGCGTACTAGACTTTCTTATTTAGGTAAATCCAATTATATTTGAAGCAATGACATCGGCAAAACTGAACTTCCCGAAAAATTCAAGGAAGGGCAAGCACAAAGTTCAAAGGGTTTTTATATACGTAGCTATAAAAAAAAATAAAATTAGATATTTAGCAGTCTGGTCGATCGGTTTTCAAACAGTTTTTCCAGGAAAGATTCTGTCATGATGACACAGCACTGCAGAAATAGCCCCCTGCGCTAAGGCACCAGATCCTGAGCACCAGAGCCCGCACGGCGGGGCCTGAGCGCGGCCCCAGCCCCGGCAGCGACAGCCCCGCGTTCCACGTCCCGCCCCGGTTCCCGGGCCTCGCTCTCCGCTCCCTCTCCTCCTGCGGGCCCCAGCCCCGCTCCTGAGCGGGTTCCAAGGGACAGCCGCGCTCCCATCCAGCGCCGCGGCCACAGCCCTGGGCCCCACAGCTCCTTCGGCCCCCGCCGGCGACGCCAGGCCGGGTACAGGCGCCCCACCCGCCCCGGCAGCCGCGCCCCAGCCCGGTCATACCCACAGCACCCCCCATACTCACAGCCTCCGAGCAGGCCCCCACAGCGGGCCCCAGCAAGGCCCAGCCTATATGCGGGGCCTGGCAGGGGGTGGGGGAGAGGAGCCAGCCCCGCCGGCACCGCCCTCCCCGAAACTCCCCCTGGGGGCTCCGCCCGGGCGCAGGCACCGCCTGGCGGGGCGGGTACAGCGCCGCCCTCTCCCCGGGCCCGCGGGCGCCGTCGTGGGGCGGTGGGAGGGCTCCGGGCACCAGAGCTCCGCCTCGGCGGGGGCGGATGGCCTTCCGTCAGCGGGGAGCTTGGGTACTTTCCTCGGCCCTCTTCCTCGGGCGGGGGAAACCCGAATGTGCTTCCCGGGCGGGGGAAACCCGAGTGTGCTTCCCAGGCGGGGATTTCCAGGCCAGGGGCGCCGGGCTGGCGAGCAGCCGGGAACGGAGCGGCCGAGGGGGCAGCGCCGGTGGCGGCGGCCCGGGCCCGCGGAGCCCGTGCTGGGACAGGCGGCCTGTGGGTGCCCGCAGCTCCAACAGCACGGTCCGGTTGGTGCCGCAGCTCCCACGGCACGGTCCGGTTGGTGCCGGCGGCTCTCACGGCACAGGCCGCACACGCAGCGCCGCTCCCCGGGCGGGCGGCCGGGGCCGGGCTCGCCTCACGCCCCGCGGTTTCAGGCTTGCTCCCTGACACCGCCGTACATCACAGCTGGCTCGGCCGCATTTCCTAATATAGGCAGCTCTGCTGCCTGTAAGAGGGGAAACAACATGACCGGTCACTTGAAAGCACTGGGGAAGAACAAGAGGAAGACAAAATAAGACCATAAATTTCCACTGGGGGGGTTTAAGACTGTATCTCTGCATATCGAAATCTGAAAATTTCCACAGCACCTATCAGAATGCTGACCAAAAGTTCAAAATGTCCCAGCACAGTCATGATCTGGCATTTCCTATGAGCAAACAGCAGATAAGAGATTTTAAAAAGCCCCGTTTTGTGATGAGAGATTGGTAGTAGGGTGTTTACACAACTGAGAACTGAAGAGTTAAAATAAGGAAGTGTAACAGCATTATGACACTGGTGGTTCATTCTCTGTGTCAGAGTTCCAGTAACATGAGTTTGCAAGAAACTCATTCATATATTTTCGAAAACTCTTTCAAAATTCCTGCCGTATGTGATGACATTTATCATATATAACAATGCTGTCAAGTTTGAACGCTGGCAGTGACATCTAGTACAGCACAGCTTCTACTGTAACACTACTTAATATCATATCATTATAGACAAAAATATTTGCTTTGCAGCAGTTGCAGAGAAAAAAGAATGTTAAAAACTTTCTTTTAAAGATTAAAATGGTTGTCAAATCCCTGATACATTGTTTTAAGGAAGCTGCTGACACAGGGAAGAGAAGGTTCAAAAATGGAGCCAGCTGATCAAATAGCTTGTGTGAAGAGTGCGGAGGTGTGTTTGTGTTTGACATTGGGAACTGTTCAGTGTCACACAAGGAACTGAGCTCTGTACTTTTGTGTGGTTTTAATTGCAAGTGCTTAAAGATTAACTTTGACTGATTATCCCCAGTTTCAGAGCTTCAAGTAGGACTACCCAAATGAAGTTATACTGATCTATTATAACTTGACGTTTTACTGTACATTCTGCAAAACTAGTTAACCCAGTGCTCTTCCTTAACACTCCTCCCTCCCTCCCTCCCTTGTGCCGCTTCACACCCAGCCCCTATCTGCCCTTGCCCCTCTGTACCCGTGGCCTCCTGCTAATCTGGCAATAGAAACTGCTATTTCCTCCCCTCCCAGGCTTGAGGGAGCAGTTTCAGGTTCTCCCTTTGTGCTTGGCAGCCTCATGTCGCAATGGAGGAAGGGAGGGGGATGTTATAAAAAGCTAAAGGCTAAATAAAAGGCTAAAATTCTTGTGATAGGAGAAAAAGAGTGCAGCTGTCCTGAGCTAAGAGGGAACTTCCCCCACTTAGCTGCCATGATGGACTGTCCTTTACCCAAGGACGTGAAGGAATAATGTAACTAAAGTGTTCTTCTTAGGACTGGAAGTCCTGGGAAAAGTGCATTATCGAGTTAGCGTTCTGTGTCTGGCTTCAGCCTGGGGCCAGGCTTACTCTCCAGAGGCAGACTAACAGGACAGCAGTGGTGCTTAAGCCCTGCCCAAGCTAAATTTGGGCTTTGGTTCTCAGGCTCTGGCATATGACTGGGACTGTTCCTTATTCCAGCCCTTTCACCAACTGCAGCAACCTTCAAAGATCTTGACCTGAAAACCAGTGAGTGGGTGGGTGAAACAAGACCCTCGGCTTTGCAGACTCCTAGCTCTGGAGAGGGGGGAAGAAGGCATTGTTCAGATAAAGCTGTCCTCAACCAAAGGAAACCACAGAGGTCAAAGTGCTAATAAAAGTGCTGCTGCCACATTACCAGAGTTTATGAGCATAAACCTCATGGTAATGTTGACTGCAGTAGCAAAGGTGAGAGAGCAAATTTCTGCAGGTGGAATGCAGTGACCTGGCAGCATGAGTGCACTATCACCCCAAGTGCACATCCAGCCCTTGAAGTACCTGATGCTGCTGCGAGTCCAGAAGTCTTCTGTCAAAGTCCTGCTGAATGTCAGTCTCCCCATGCTGTCATCCTTCTCTGATGCATTCTCCAGTTTGCTGTCTTCCACAACATTAAAATGTCTGGCTTTAATGGTGCCTCTGTAACACACCTCTAAACATCTATGAAGAGGAGAGATGGACAAAACACACATTGTTATTTTCCTTTCCCTTCCTACTGACTCCTGTATCCACTCTCCCAAAAATCTAAAACCCCCTGTAGAACCTGTATTAAAAAGTAAAACCAGTTATGACTGGGTAGTGCCCACGTTTCAGCTTTACAAAGGTACCAAATACCACCATGGGACATGACCTGTTTATTCTGAACTCCGTAGTGTTGGCTTCACTGCAGCCATCAACCCTTATTCCAGCAGTAAGGAGTAGGTTTCCTCTTATAAACTGACCTAAGATGGTGATTAGGGTTTCACAAAAAACTTTAGAAGGAATTCTTCAACTCCTTCAGGACGTAAGGGGAAGATAATGATGAGAGAAACAAGAAAAAAATACATATTAAGGAAAACTTTGGGAAAGCCGACTTGAGGCAAAAAATACTAGCTGTAGATAAAGTTGCATTATCTATTCAATTTACAAATGAAGCCAAGAGCAGAGTAGCTCTAACATCCTGTAAACATGAGATCAGATAAATTATGTTATGATAGTCTATGTGGGTGCAGCTGCCCACTTCGTTTTGACTAAACACAGCAACTTTTTTTTTTTTTTAACTTTAGTCACAGGTTTGTTCGCCTTTGCCCAGGGAGAGGGGAATTGAAGTTTCTCTTCAAAGCTTCTCTTCAGCTGAGAGGCCTGATGAGTTTAACATCCACAGATTGGGAGTAACCAGAAGATGCACAGGAGATAAGAGAACACTGAGGAACATTACCACTGGTGTAGCTGGAGATACCTGCTCTGGGAACAGATCGATAAGAGAACCAAAGAATGAGGACCAGGTTAGCATCAAAGGCAAAGATCAATAACCAATAGGAGATCAAGCACTAAGAGTTGAGTCATTTAAGACCAATGAACACGAACTTCTTTGGGGTTTTTATATAGATTTATGTGAAAAGTCTGGTAAAGAACCATGTGAATGATTTTCACTGCACAACATGGGCATGTGTTAATGTAATAATTTCTGTTGCACATCCTGGCCAGAATAAAGTAATGCCTTGATTCTCTAACACTGAAAAGATGTAGTTGTAGAGTTTCTGGTTTTCCCATAGTTTCAGTGACAAGGGCATCTACATCAGCAATAATGATTAGTTTTTTTCTTTTTTTAAATGAAACTTTTTAAATTGCATTTGGGCATATAGCAAAAAAAAAAAAAGTCACAAGGGACAAATATAATATCTAGATATTTAGGGCATCCATGACTCATTGTGATAACCTTAAATGTTCAGGAAAAAAAAACATCTTGCTCCTCCCTTTCTGAAGGTCAGTACACTCTAAGTCTGTAAAGTTTCCATTCCCTTTGCACACAGACAAGAGTTTTCTTTTTCACATCCTCCTACGCAAAGGATCATGAGTACAAAAGTTTAGGTTTCCCTAAATCAGTTGTGGGCTTTCTCACACATAGTGCTCAGATAAATTCTCCCATAAGCCATCAGTAGTCTCAAGAACATATCAGAGCCACACTGAATAAGCTGAGGCTTTTAAATCAGTCAGAAACTCTCATTAATATTTACTTGGAAGATAAAATATAATGAAAATTAATTGCAAGAAGGTAAATGTTGAGTTCAATTCTCTTTTTAGATTGGAGAATCTGCTCACTTTTATTGTCTGCTTCTAGGAAGACCATTTTGTTCTCCTGGTGGTATAACTAACATACATTCAGCAGGAGACAGGAATGTGAAGAATGCCAAAGCAGAGATGACTTGACTAAAATAAACCACAATCAGGTGGAAAGAGGACTGCTTTTATATCAGGGAAATAAAAAGGCTTCTATTCAACTGCTTCAAATTGTGTCAGTTGAGAGCCCCACATTCCAGGGTTTTTTCCAAAGGAGTTGTCTTTCTAAACAGCAGATTGTCTGCTTTGACTCCAAGTTAATTCCTGCTGTCAGAGTAAGAAAATTTCTCTAGATCTGATTTCCGTCATTTATTCCTCATTATCTCTCTGCAGATTTTAAAACCTTCCCAAGGTGTTTAATTTGCTTTAGTTGAACCAACTGTTGCTATTCATGTTCTTGGGGATTTTTTTATGTCAATATTCCTTCAACTGAAAGAGAATCAAATGTGGCACTGTTTAGTTTCCTGAGGTTTATACTGGAGGTTTTCTACCAGGACTGGGGCAAGGCTCAGGAAGATACAAGTGATTTCTAAGTCATGCTAGATGTGATTCTACCACACTTTACCTAGACAATGGGTGATTGCCTTGACAAAGCCGTTCAAAGAGTTTAAAAGGCCAAAAACCTCAAGGCCAAATACCTCAGAAGTCAAATCATCCATTCAGAGGCTACAGATACAAGATGAAGTTTCCCGAAGTTTCTACATCACCGTTTCAAACGGCACATAACACATGGGAACGCACTAACTCCCACAAACCCACACACAAAGAGGAGCTTAAGCCTTCTGTTGCAACATGCAAAATAAGGCCCCTGTTCTGTAAGCAAAACCAGAAATCTGATTTTTGTGCCTGCCTGAGATCCCAGTGCAGCTCATGGGAAACTGATTTGTGATTTACAGCAAAACCAAAAAACCCCAAGCTCCTGTGTGCAAACTGAACAAGCCATAAATCAGCTCCCTATGAACAACAATGGCACAAGCAGTTGTAGCAGACACGGGGTTAAATGACAGGAGTGGGGGCTGCTGAGGTTAATCCTGGTGCCAAATGGCACTAAAACTGCAGCCTGAGAGAAGCTGAGCATTCCATTTTTATATTCTGCTGCACAGTACTACGTTTAGAAAGAACAGAAGAGAAATAAGAGGAATCATAGTTGAACTGAAAATGGTTTCACTTTCACTTCTCAGGACTTACAGGAATAAATAAATTAAAAGTAATGTAGTGTGCACTACTGAAAAAAAGTTTCTTTTCAACATTAAATTGTAATACTTTCATGAGAATATATTAGAGGAAAAACAGTGAAAACAGAAAAAGAGTGATGTGTCTTTGATAAGGAGTATTTTTTTATATTGATGTATTTTTTATATTTGATTTGATATATTTTGATAAGGGATACTAGCTTTATACACTAGTATTTTTTGGCTAGTATCTCCAAATTGATTAACTTACAAATCATGTTACATGGATACATGTAACAGGGAGGTGATTCAGGTGAGGAACAAGTCCCAATTGAGTGCATATAAATGGCTATTTATGTCAAGGTTAGAAGACTGGGTTTGTAGAAGCTGGAATGTGCTGTCAAATTTTGACAGATTTGCTGCTGAATTGTTCAAAGAATTGAAAAGTTATTGGGGTGGAGTGGACAGGCAGGTACTTTCTTATAAAAAAAAAAAAGATTGAATAAATGAGATGCCAAAGTCAGGCTAAAATGACATGAGATGTCATGCTGAATACTCACTTGGTGGTTTTTAGTGGACTAGCTAGAAAAACTGCTCTGTTCCTGGCACACTTACTCAGAAGGAGCACCTCAGACTCAGAAAACAAAGAGTATACTGACACGGCTTAATTCAGCATCAACCAGGGGCTGCACTGACCTAAAATCCATCTATCCCAGTACCAGCCAGTACCAGACATCCCTGGTATCAGCTAATCTCTTTCTGTAATGAAAACTGCCTCAGCCTTTAGTACAATAATCTGGGCCTGATATCTGAAGGTCAATGTTACTAATTGGGATAATCCAAAAGGTCACTCCAGTCCTGATGAGCAAAGATTTTTTGGGAAAAAAGAAGTTTGCATGCAAATTGAAACATTCTTGGGTCAGGAATTCAGAGTGGCAGTGAGCACAGCAGCCTTGAGAAGCAGGAGTTAGATGCTATGCTCCTTATCCCACAGTGTTGCTGAAACAGAGGGTACAGTAGCCTTGGAGAAGCAAAGGGTCCTTTGTTTCTCTGCTGAGTTATTTCTAGCAAGAAAGACCTTTTTCCTCTGAAAAAGCACTGTCCTAAACATCACTGAGATCAAAGAATGTGAAAAAGGCAGAGGTAAGGTTCTCCCATCCCTCCATTGTGCAATACTCAAGAAACAGCACCCCATTCCTAAAACACAAGATAATAAGAACATGATTTGAACAAAAAGAAAAAGCCTGATAAAATGTGCTTGTACAGTATCTGGAAAATTAAGCTCCAGCCTCTGAGGCTTTAAGTCTCTACTTTAAAAATCATTAATGTCCTAAGTTGACATGAGATGGATTTTATCCTGCTCTGAGAATAAAGTCCATATTTAAAACAGACTAGACCATCAGTTCTGAGACACAAGATGCTGTGGTCCCTTCAGGCTCTGGAATAGTGGAGATTAAATTACCATCTAAGGGCTGGCACAGAAGAAGTCTCAATATCAAATATGTTCAAGCCTTAGGCACACAGCATGATTTCTAGCATCACCTGCATGTTGAGAAATACAAATGCAAGGGTCTGAATAAAGTACCAGTGTCTTGAGGCTTGATACAGGCCTCTTGCCACTTCCTTATGACTTCCTTAGTTTGATTTTAAGGAGAACTACTTTTTGTCCTGTCTCAAAGCTCTTCCTAATAGAGTTTTGAATGTATATCTTACTAGGAACATGTTTGTGTCTGAACTTTGTCAAACACAAACTGTAGGTCTCCAGAACACTGTCTCTTTCACTTGGCCACACAGTTATAAGCACAAAACAAGCTACTGTGAGAACATTTCCAAAATTAAGCAAGTTATCTTCCTTTGAAATTATACACAAAAGTTTGGCATTGGCCCAGGACTGTAGGAGTTTCTGGTTTTTGTGATTCTGTTTTTCTTGCTTGGAAACAATAGTGGTATTCATGGCTAGGCAGTTCACGAGGTTACAGCTTCTGAGGCTGTGTTTTTCAATATGCAGCATTCGCTATAAAAGATGCAGCATACTTCAGTGTTACCACAGTGACTTCCCTTCTGGTGGGTCCTGTGGAGTAATTTTAAAATGTATGTGTTTTAAAGTGAAACATTGCTTATACATACGAAGCTACTCAATTCTGCATCCAGACATGTGGGCCTGTGGGCCAAGACTTGGTAGACTGGAATACATGTACTTTGTTATTGTGAGCGCTATTCTTTTGTTTCTTGTCCTTTCAAATCTCTTTCCCCTCCAGTCAACTCCTTTCTACCCAATGCTAATCTCCTGCACACAGAAAATGAGTGCATTTATACAATATCCTGTTTGTCAAACGTTGTTTTGTCCCTTTAGTTATTACACACAAGCACTCTTCAGCTGACAAGTTGTCAGCTGCATTGTTCTCAGGTTGTCAGGCCTCCCACATTACAGTGTACTTGCCCAGCCTCAGAGAGAAAGGCTATAGCTTTTTCATAGACAAAAATAAGCAAAAATTTCATTGCAAACCAGTTTCTTCTGTTCAATAAATAGTTGAACAAAAGACAAGTGTCTGCAAAGCGATGTGTGTTTGTCTCCTGTAACATAACACTATGGCAGGCACTGCAGTGAGCTAGGGAAGGCAGGAATGCCACAGCAGCTCTGAAAACAAAAAGAGCTGCTGACCAACAAAACTCTGGTGAAATGCCAAAAAAGGGTGCAGAATCTGAATGTCAGGAAAGAGAGGGACAAAGGTTACAATGATGCAATTGCCAAGAGAGAATCATCTAGTAAAATGCGTAAGGGCTATAAAATAGATATTCATATCTGAGCTGGTCAGTCTTTACAGTCAAACAAAAAGGAGAACATGCCTTTAGGATGTGTTTTTGTATTAAATCCTAAAATAGACATTTCAAAGGGATTACATACATCACCCCCAAGTGCATTTTTCTTTCTGTTGATTGCTAAGGAGGTGAGAATCTAAAAGCACTAGGGAGATTGTTCCAAGGTTTTGCATTTTTGTAACATCATTAGGAGGCAAACATAACTAAAATCAGAGGACAAGGGAAAATGATAAACGAATCAGTGGTTGTTCCAGATATGTCTTTTAGTGCATGGTTTATGTAGCAAAGGCAGGAACCCAACAGTTGTTCTCATGAACCAGACCTGTGATCTGCTGTCATTTCTAGGAACCACAGAAAATACAAGAAATTTTATAGCAGGAAATTATGAGTAAACACAGCAGCTCTTCAGATACTTTTTCTTTTTGTTTCTGTCCATTTTTTACTTTTTCGAAAACTTTTTCATCTGACAGAATTTAATTAAAAACTGCAGAAAAACAAAACTAAAATTCTTCCTTTTGAGGCATGAGATCAGAACAAGAGCTAGTTTTTTTTGTTTGTTTGTTTCTGTTTTAAAGCAGTGTTTTGGAGTGGGGTTTTTTAGAAGCTAATCAGGAAAGGGTCATTGTTTTACTGGAGCAATTACATATAATGAGCTATGGCAATAACATATTCCTAGGGATAGGAACATAACTATCTGTAGGTGTCCTTTGGCAGGCCTCAGCTCATATAACCCCAGCCCAGGAGGCCTAGGCTGGGCAGCCACATGCACTGGTCCCAAAAAGCCTTTTCTGAGCAGCAAGCACCTCCTCTTGGGTTGGCCTGCAGTAAGGGCACTGTCCCATTGCCCCCACTGCCACATCTGAACATGAAAATCCAGGTACTCACCAGCCACAGCAGCTGCTTTTCACATTGCAGCAGTTCAGCCATCTCATCCTCATTCTGTATGTTCAGCAGGTAAAATAAAATGCAGGGGGTGATGCTGTTGGGGCAGCCAGAGGGAGGAGAGGAGCACAGGATTAACAGCGAATTGGGAGAATGGTCCTGCAAAAGAGCACAACAGTGCATTTCACACGTCAGAATTTTGGAAAGCTGAGCAGTCCAAAGGCGGGTTCAGGCACATAGAAACTTTTGACATACTTACAAAGTGTGGCATGGGGCCAAATTTCACAAACAAGTAGTCAAGATAATCAGAATTATCTGGCTGCTCCCACCAAGGGCTGTGCTTTCCAGAGTATGATCTATCATGCAGCATGACAGTGGTAATTTATTGCCAAAGAGGCCTCAGTGGATTCCTCAGTGAGGTTTCAGATTGGTTTCTGGGAAATGAACTTTCCAGAGGGCAGGATATTTGACAGCATTACCCTCAAAATTTGTGGGAATTGCCTTTGAGTCTGAAAGGATGTGAGAGTTCATGGATTGAATGTGGAATTCCCCAGTCCATGGAGCCAAGGACTCAGAGGAGCGATGCACATCACTGCTGCAAGGCTGGAGTGTTTCTATGGTGAACATCTGCTGTTCCAGATGTGTGCAGCAGGCACAGTCCATCCCTGAGGTTCCTTGGGCTAGCTGCAGTCACCCTAAGAGCTGCAGCCCACACACCTCACAGGAAGGCTGCTGTGGAGAGAGGGAAGCAACACTGCCAGACTATCTCACCTCCCCGTTGACATTCCCCATCGCCTCCTGCACCCAGCCACTGCTGAGCCCACAAGGCTGTGCTTCCCCATCTGTGCCCCAAAAGGCAGCTGCAAACAGCTGTCTCTGCCCCTCAGAGAGAACTTACAGGAACTTACTCCTTGTTGGCTTGCAGCACAGGAGGAGCCAGGATTCAGGTAAAATCTGTGGTTCCTGGGCATCCTGTGAATTGGAAAAGATCCAGTGTGGGCACAGCACCAACACTGGCACTGACTCAGTGTTACCCACATGCATCCAGTTCAAAGGACAACCAGGGCAGGTCATGTCCTGCCACGTGGCCACATTCCTGGAGCAGGAGGTGGTTCTTGGGCTTTTCACACAGAATCTGGTTAAGAGGTCTATGCAAATCAGCAGGTCATAGGCTGTGACTTAGGCAGTGAACCTCCAAGGCTGCTTCTGGTCACAGGAAGTTAATGAGGTAAAATTAATATAAACAGAAAGAACAAAGAACAGCATTGTCTGCAAGGATTTAACCTCCGTGTGCCAAGTGCTGAGGACACATGGAATTTTTTTATCATACCAGAGTTTAGAGGTCCTGTTGCACTTTTCTGTACAGAGTTCCATTACGTGACTTCATAGAATTATAGAAAGGCTTAGGCTGGAAAGGATCTTAAAGATTATTTAGTTTCAGCCCCACTACCATGGGGAAGGACACCTTCCACTAGACCAGGTTGCTTCAAACCACCACTAACCCAGCTTTGAGCGCTTCCAGGGATGGGTCATCCACAACTTTTGTGGGCAACCTGTTTCAGTGTCTCACCACACTCACAGGAAAGAATTTGTTCCTAATGTCCAAGCCCACCTTCTATAGTCACATCACATGCCATAAGGGTTTTTCCTCAATAACTTTAACTTCAGAGAACCCTCTCCTTCAGTCTTACGCAGCCACTTGCCATTTTTTGAGTGTTGACTCTGAAAATTAGGGCTAGGAAACATTCCTGGCAGTTCAAATGGCAATCCTTCTCATAGTGTGCCACTCTACACAGTGGGCTTTCTGCTGAATGCTGAGATTCGGCTCAGCTACATGTTAGTTTAAAAGAAATTGAACGTGAAGAGAACTGGGTATCAAAGACTAAACTTTGGGAGTTTTCAAATATTTTTTGTTTGTTTTAATCAGTTGGTTATGAGAAAATGAAAAAACAATACCCCCAATTCTGCCTAGCAGAGTCAATTCTTCTCTGTCAACTCTTTTTGAAAACGAAAGTAGTGACCATGCTTCATTCACTTTCTCTAAAATTAACACAAAATCCCAAATTAATTAAATTATGATAAACCTTAGAGAAAAAGACTATGCATTTGCTAATCTTATCCTGTGTAATTAGGTATGACAAGTCTTACTTCTGTTTCATTGGAAACGTAGCAACGGGTACAAAGCAGACACCCAGGGAGCTAATTTGGTTTCCTGACCTGGGATTTGCAGAGGTATCTTGTTAAAGCAGTGACTTGAACATCACACAGAGCACAGAAACTCTGCCTGCCACAGGATGAGGAAATGCCAAAAGGGGGCTGGTGGTGTTTGAGCACCACCGGGTGGACAAATAAGGGAAAAAAGTTCATTTTTGAGACTGAATGCATGGTTGTCCTGGCAGGCAATAGTCCCACCTCGAAGTAAGAGCCCTGAGCAGTGTCCCACCCTCATCCGTGCTGTTCTTCTTATTGACAGTATTTCAGGAAGTTCTCCCACATCCCTTCACGACACTAGGCATTTCTGTTACACTGCATGTGATCCCAGAGTCTGGAAAGTCTTCCCAGAAAACATCAGATTTGCAAACACAAACATAGTATCTGTAATAAACATGACCACAATAGAAAACAAATACTATCTATAATTTTTAATTCAGAATTTCAGTTACCTCAGCAATAGCTGAGATATTGCTCAGACACTTCTCCAGTGTTTTCTGCCAGTTTTGTTTCTGCCTTGAAATCTGTGCCTGGTAGGTAAATGAGTGGGTTCTTTAAATCACAGGAAAAAACCCCGCTTTATGTAGTGTTCCTAAGTGCTTCTTACACCTCGACTGTTCTGTGGGCCTTTGGACAGTAATTTTGTGGTGGCTGGCCTTGGACAGCTTTGAATGCTGCTCACAGCAGATATATGAAGACATGTAGCAGCTGTAGCCAGGTAAGAGCTGCTTTCCCCTGGCACCAGATAAGGCGGTTTGTTGAATTAAGTGTAAAAGTGCTCTCACCCTCCCACCTGTATCCTATGTGCTTTACTGGCACACTTCTGCAGAAAGCTTTGGCCAGCTCTGTGCCCTGTGACTTATCTGTAATGGATCTGTTCTTTGGATTACACTGCAGCCCAGAGAGCCCTTTGTGCCACTCCGGGCAAGCACACGCTGTCTCTGTGTGGGGCACTTACCTCTGGCTGAGAGACTCAGGGAGGAGGTGACAGCACCGGCGTTCTGGCAGCAGGACCCTGCTCAGGCTGGTGCAACGCAGGCAGAAATGGCTCCTTGCCAAAGGGGGACCTTCAAGTTGATGAGAAGACAAGGAGTGGCAAAGCTCCCAAAATACATCCTATGAAAGGGTAACACTTGGGTCACTGGTGAGTTTCCTTTGGGATACCTGACCTCAGTGCTGTCGCCAGGAGATCCCCCCTGGCAGCAGCTCCAGGGCATACTGCACACACCCTTTCTGCAAATTCCACATTTAACAGCACGTTTGCTGCTTGCTTATCACACACAGCCCGCCCGCTTAAAATAGAAGCATTTGAGCTGACGCCTCAGGTCCTCTCAGCTTTGAATGAAGGAGGGAAAAAAATCCCCTTCAGGGATTCAAAGTGTACAAAGTGTAGTTCTTACTAATCTGTGTCATGTACTTCTCCTTTGTCCTGCTCACACAGGTCTGAGGGTCTAGTGAACTGCTCAGTCAGGTCAGGTAGATTTCTTTATAAGAATGCTTTATCAGAATGCTTGAATCCAAAACAATGCAGCCAAAGACAACTAGTCATGTGCCTAAAGAAAGTGAGAAGGTCTCTGACTAGTATTTGGCATGTCAAGGTAGTTTGGTACAAGAAAATCCACCTCCTACCTACCTGCCACTGTACCATACCAGACATGGCATTTACATCTTCAGCCTCAGCACTCCATAATCCTTGGCTGCTGGACAGTCGAAGCATCTGCAGGAAGATTGGCAAATTGTGGCATTATTGCAAGTTAACTGTTACCCAGACATGTTGGTTGTACTCATTTAACACTTGAGAGGGAGGAGGGAATTCACAGCAGCTCCTCTGCAGCCTGGGCACGGGCTGTGCAGAGGCTACCAGCCCAGGGGGACTCACCCTCTCGGCTTATGGCACACGAGTGCAGCCACACGAGCACCAGTCCTCACTTGTTCCTGGGCACTGCACAGCTCAGGGGGCTGGAGACCTGAACACACTGGGACACTGAAACTACTCAAAATCAGCAGGGATGGGCAATCAGTGTGTTAGAGCCTGTGCAATATCCCCTATCACGACAACATCAATGACTTTCTCTCTTCTGAAACAAATAAGTTGCAAAGAGCTGGGCTGAAGGGAAGCCTCTGAGCTATGGACTTGAGTAAAGCAAGGCAATGAAATCCCTCAAAGGTAGTATTTTAACAAATATGTGTCCCTAGAACTTCTTGCCAGTTCATGCCAAGAAACTGCCCAACTCTTGCTTTACTTTGCTTTAAATGTTGGCATTTTTTGACCATTTGAGTCCTCCTAAATGTTGCCTACAGGGAAGGTGGGTGCCTAACATAGGGTCCAACCTCCATTTGGAATAGGAAGATCCTTAAACATCTGACTCTCAACATCTGGGAGATCTATTATAGAGCTTTTTTAGAAAGAACACTTGATCTTGGTTCTGGCTGGAGCAGAGGGCCTGGATTTTGTCTCTCCTCACCGTGCACTGCCCAGCTGTTTGTGTACCAGCTTTCTGTGTAAACAGAGCTGCTGCTGCCAGGTTCATTCAGCAGTTTCACAGGCCAGCATCTGTGACCTTGCAGTTCCCAGGCCTCCTTTGGAACAAGGCTGATTAAAGAGGGAATTGTGCTCTCTCACAGCTGTCCTGGTACCTCACAGAAATAGGAAAAGATATGAATGGACCACAAATGCATTTGAATACAATGATATTGTTGTTCCTGCTCACCCAGCTGTGGCAATGACTTAAGGAAAGCTAAGACTTTGTGCCTTGATTTTCATACTAGGAGTACAAGGGCTTTAAAAAGCACAGATAGAGTGTATGAGTCAGGTCTCTCTTACCCCTCTTGCCACGTGGCTGGCACAAACCCTCAGGCTCTCTCACTTTCTGCAGAGCTGTGGCAACGTGTTTTATTTCCCAATTGAACTTCCATGGAAATGCAACCCAGAGACCTGAGCCTGTCTGACTTAACAGCACTCACCATTTCCCTGCCTCTTCCCTGCCTGGGGACCAACCAGCTTCTCACTCTGTCCCCCACCCCGAGCATCTGATGATGCTCCCCAGGAGCTTACACCAGTAAGCAATTAACGTTCTCATTCTTAGCTCGTTTCTCACAAACACCATTCCATAACGGGGTAACAGAAAACAAACGTGGAAAGGAAACAGGACAAGACCCAGCCACAAGTCCTCACACCCCACACACTGTGCCACACTGTGCCACATCCCTCTAGTCCATGGTCCCACCTACCAAATCATCTGATTACATGCTCCTTTTCCAGAAGACAGTGAAGGAAGAGACCAGAAAGGCAAAGCATGTAAATAGAGGCTGAAGTCATAGAACCCATAGATAAAGAAAACTGCCGGTCCCCTGCAGTTCTGATTTTCTGTCTTGGTCTCCTTTCTGACAATGTTTGCAAACATCTTCAGAGCAGGATCCAGCAGCTGTGCAAAGCAGTCACCTCATCAATGCAGTGCACTCCCTTTGCTCCAAGTGAGTGGGAAAAGAGGTTTGCACTCACAGAAAACCCAGGGACTTGCATTGATTAGCACAGACTGTAGATTGGTTTAACAGCAAATAGTGTAAAGGAACATGCTACTGAAATGTTACGGGCTATTTTTGAATCAAACATTCCTGTTCCACCATTGCAGCTGGTGGAAAGCTCCTCATCCCAACCGAGATGTCCATTTGTACCACAATGATTAAACTGCTGGGGTTACTCAGCATCTGGGTAGCTCCACATCACAAGGATTCATCACCATTAAGCAGACACCAACGATTTAGGTAACTCTCAAGTTACCTCCACAGTTAATCTGAGAGCATTATAGATGCAAAACCTGGGGGCTCATATCTGGGGCTCAGTGTGAGTACTTAGAGCTACCAGAAAACAGTGCCTGGGTATTGCTTTTTCATGAATATGATGGTCTAGTTGAGTAAACATCAATCCAGGGAAGCCCCACCTGTGTTATGCTAGATATCAGATCAGATAACAATGAATATGTCTCCTGGATTTACAGCTGTGAAATGGCTGAATCCTTTCTACAACTGACTGGGCAGACTCAACCCTCTGTGAATCCCAAGTGAGGCTGGCTAACCAAGTTGTCCTGTAGATAGTTTATCTTGTGTCATTGTGAGCAACAAATCTCCTAAATATGCCACTTGTATCTTATTTTTGAGCTTATATCTGAAGATGATATAAAAGAGATTCAAACAGCATCTGTTGATGGGTGTTATAGACTTTCAAGTTTTTTAGTTGCCTTTATCTGAAGCTCATTCGTGTGCAAAATTGTAAGTCAATATTTCTTCCTTGCTTCTCACATGCAGTTTTTTCTCAGCATTAGGAATTTAAAAAATCATTACAAAATAGGCAGGGACTGAAATGAAGCATCCATTAATATTTCTGATTTTGGGAAGAAACTAGATTTTACTAATAGTGCTTCATTAAAAAAGAGCTACTCTAATCTAAAATGTCCATGGCTTCCTCACTGATTTTTTGCCTTCTTCCTTTAAATAATAGTTCATGATCTGGAAGCAGCTTTACATAAATTGCCCAATGAAACTCAGTATCATAATTGCTAATGTAGTCAGGATCACATGACTTTGTAGATTTGTCTCCTTTTCATAACCCTTTTTTAAAATGAACCCCAAATATTCTCAGCTCAGTTAAGCAAACTTTTTCATCTTTTCGGAGATGAATATTAGCAGAATGAGGAAAAAAGAGCAAAAGACAAGAGATCTGAGATACAAATGCCACCCAAAGCTGACATTTGAGAGCTGATAGGAGAGTACAAGGAGCTGCAGAGGAGGAAGAGCACAGCTGCGGGAAGCGATGAAGGGAAGCCAGCGATAGATGAAGGAGGATCAGAACCAGACACTTCAAGGCATGCATCCAATTCTTCAGGTTACATAAAATGATTTTTACCATTTATGCACTTCCCTCCTTTTCTGGGCGCTGCACATTGCAGATAGAGCTGGTAGCAGTGCTTGCAATTACTGCTGCCTGGCAGTTCCTGTTACGAGCTCCTGCTTTCAGTTGTTCGATGTTACTCATCCAGGCTGAAATGTCTTTTGCCAAGGCTTGGCCTCGGGCTGATTCTTTCCCTTTCCATTTTCTTTTGGGAGGAGGAAAGGGGAAGGCAGTTTCAGTAAAAAGGGTTCTGTGGTTTCCAGGGCAAGATTAGGCAACTGTTTATTTGAGCAAGAGCTTGAAATTTGGCAAAATGGGGGCAGGTTGCCCCGATGCCAGAAGACGTAGCCAAGTTATAAATGTGTTTTCAAAAAGTCTCAGGTCATGTAGTTTAGCAGAGACTTGTCAGCTTGGCAGATGAATTTTCAGAGGGTCGTGTCAGCACAGGGCACAGTGTGTCCCCTGCCAATTTCCAGGCCCTCACAGGACTGTCCCCTGCCAATTTCCAGGCCCTCACAGGACTGTCCCCAGCAGAGCTGGATGATGCCTCCAGTGCTGCCACAGGCCCTGAGCAGGGCAGGAGCTGCCTCTGCCCCTGCCTTGGGCGGCTCAAGGCTGGAGGTGGGGCTGAGGTACCAAGGTAAGAAGGCACTTGGATAACGAACCATGGAGAATCAGACTGTGATGAGACAAGGAACTGGAATGGTAACTACCAATGACCCAGCCTAGCCAAGGGCCCAGGACCTGAAGCAGGGTGACTGGTGGGACAAGGGGTGCAGGGTGGGCAGGAGGATGAGGAGGAAAGGAAAGACATCTTGGTGATAGCTACCCTGTCCATTCCAGAGCCCAGAGCAGAGCTGAGGTCACCTCCAACAGAAATCTGGAAGTCAGCTGGCATGGGTGATTTTTCCTGCTTGCTCGCAGGGTCTTCTGTACTGGCTGAAAACCTGTGACTTTTCCTTGATTAAGTCTAAAGCTTCAATTCTCCAGCAGAGAGATGGATTAGCACTTCTCATTGGTGCACCTCAGCTTGGGATCAGGGCAAACATCCCTGCCATCTGTCATGCCTACTCTGCCCTAATGCTGCAGGGGGGATGAGGAGTGAGAGGTGGTGCAGAGCCAGGCTTGCTGTCTGTGCTCCCTTCTTTGCTGCTGGGTGAGGAGAGAAGAGCAGCTGTCCCTCGCTGGGCTGCACAGAGGTGACAAAAGGCCCTAAGGCCAGGCCCAGGCTGTTGCTTCCAGCCCTGAAACACAGCACAGAGCAGTTAAGGAAGAGGAATTGAAGAAAGGCCAGAAACCATGGCCATTAACACTTTCCTTACTCCTGAGTCCTAATGATCTCTTTCTTCCTCAGCCAAGTCCACAGTCAGTGTTCTCTCACAACCCCCCCATCTCCTCACCCCAATATTTTCAATCGAGATAAAGCTAAAACTCTATCCCTATCACTCCAGCATGTCTTTGTTCTGCACCTCAGCATCTTCCCAATGCCACTGCCTCCAGTGACCATTATCCCTCAGGCCTCAGCTCCAGTATCATCTGAATATTCCAGCAGCCTCCTGATAACTCAAATCCAGTGACAGCCCTCTGGAGCCCTTCTGGCTCTTGCATTAAACCCTGTTACTCTGTAGTCCCCACACACTCACACTCCAGTCATTCCCACATCACCACTGACCCTGCTCCAACAAATCCCCCATCCCTGCTGCTGCCCAAGACTCCAAGGCCTAGTTCCCAGTGCCACCCCGAACACCTTCTCCAGCCACCTCCTGCCCTACATGCAGGGGGATGTGGACACAGCAAAGCAGCACAACACTCATCTGACTGCTCTAGATACAGCCCACTGTCCCCAGGGTTGGGGTTCCTGCCAGCTGACCTTGGACACCTGCATTCAGTCCGTGGGCATCTGTTTCCTTCACAGTGATGAATGGAGATAGCTGGATACTTTTAGGGTACCACTGACCTACCTCACTTTAGATATTTACTTGGACTGCCCCAAAAGCCTCATTACCTATCCAATCACTCTAGGTGGAGAGAAGAACTATCTCAGTTTAGATGTGCCCTTTGCTCATAACATAGTCAGGCACAGAAATGCCAGGGTGGTAAGTTATTGAAAAGCAGAAATAAGGGAAAGTCCCAGGAATTATTTCTCTACCAATTCCACCCTTGTTCCTAGAACACACCATTCTTGGTGGGGTGTTTTTTAGAACACATTTAAGTGTTATCTTTGGTTAAGGTCAGTATGTTCCAGTTTGATCAGCTTGACCAGAAAAGTTGGTTGAAAGTTACAGAGACTGGAGAATGGAGGAGACAACAACAACATCATGCACTGGACAACTCCTGGTTGGGCTCATGTCTGTAATTCTCTTATCAGTTTTCTGTGCTGAAAATGATAGTGTAGGAATGGAAAGGCTTCAAGAAGGGATGCAAGGGCTTGGAGGTTTGGGAACAATTTTGCACAAGGAGTACTTGAATGAGCAACAGTTTTTCTGCTCAAGAATAGGGAGAACTAAGGGAAAAAAGATGAAATATAAATAGGAATAAAGTGAACAGGAAATTACTCCTCACCCTTTCTCATTACAAAAAAAAAAAAAAAAGCCACTAAAATCAGACAACATCAAATGAAATTTGTAGAGAACAAGTTCAAGACAAGTAAGATACAATGGCTATTTTCTCCAGAGTCCATCAGGCAAAGAGGTGTGTGACTCCTTGCCACATGATGCAGTGAGTACTGAAATGCTCACCATCTGCCAGGAGAGCATTCAGAGCTCCTACACCTCACTCAGTGTGCAGTGTGTGACAGTGCTCCTGTGCCCTGGCCTTCAAACAGGTGTGTGTGCTGTGTGACTCCCAGTGCTCCAGCCTCTCTGCTCTTGGCCACAGCTGGCAAGGGGGTACCTGCCTCTGCAGAGCTTTGCCCTAGGTGTTTCTAGGAGAAAAAGATAGAATTTAAACATGAAAATGCAGAAATGAAAACACAGTGCACAAATATGTAGATAAATATATCTAAGATTTTTTTCCCAGTTGATCTCAAACAGTTGTTTTCAAAGTTTTACAATAGGAAATCTGATTTTTTTTTGGTGTGTGTGTATTGAAACAAGAAAATCTGAAGTAACATTGTCTTTCAAAAATTAGTCTCAGCTCCAAGCTTCTTTTGCATAGCATAGGCTGGTTGCTCACTCACTGAATATTTTCATTATGTGTGTAGGGAAGTAAATTTGTAGCCATATTCACCTGAAGACTATATTACAATGAATAAGCAAAAATAATGTATGTGTGAAGGCAAGATAGAATTGCCTGGCAGCCTTCAATCTGTCATTCCTTTGACTGCTAACTTGGCAATTTGCGTGGGACAAGTTATAAACCAAATAATCCTGAGGTAAAGTTTTCGTTGCCCACACAGTGCTGAATGTATTTATTTTTTAATTCCATTCAGGTCCCAAGTGCTGTCAAAATGCTAGAGTTTCAGTCAATATGATTTTTCATACTGCAAAATCTTCTTTGCTTAGTCTAAAATGGAGCTGTTAAATCTCTTGTGATGACTGGGGCAATGTTATTGTACAAAGATATCCAAAACTATTGAAACTTTTCAAGGTCTCCTGAAAGTTTCTACACAAGATAAAGTTGTTGAGCCTCCAGACTGTGAATTGCCAGTCACAGTCTGGAGGCCTGACTGAGAACCTTGCTATCTCTTTAGGTTTTCCTCTCTCTTCTCTTTAGTAGGGTGACATGGTGCCCAGAAAGAGCTGCATACTCCTTTTGAACACTTTTACTGGTAGTGATTCTACCACTTCCCCAGGCAGCCTGTTCCAATGCCTGACCACCCTTTCAGTGGAGAATTTTCCCCTAATATCCAGTCTGACCCCCCTGAGGCCATTTCCTCTTGTCACTGGGTCCCTGTGAAAAGGCACCACCTGGAAATACAGGCTCTGCAGGTTCCCTTCAAAGTGCCCCTGCAGCAACACTGAGTGGGGAAAACTCCTAATGGCATCCCAGCAGCACCCCATGTCTTCGAGGAACAGAGTCCTCACTGCACTTCACCCACTTCCCAAGGGACTTGCAAAGGCTTCTTCTCCCTGTACGAAGGGGCAGGCAGTGGTTTGCCTGCGTTGGCAGAGAAGCAAATCTCCTTATGCTCCCCTGCTCATTCCCTCCTTCTTCTTCTTCACACACAAGTGAAAGGGGGAATGGAGGAGGAAACTGAGGATGAAGCAGTTGAAGATCCAGTTAAAGCTGCCAGAGAGATTTCTTCTTTATTTACTACTCCAAAGCAGAATACAATTGCCAAGGATTCAGTTAATCTATCATCAAAAAATCAATTGACCTAGAAGGCTGATGCTTTTCTTTGTACCACTACAAATGACACATCCTTTTGCTGTTTCAACATTGGTGGCATGAAAGTTTAACAATTAACAAAAAAAGCTAAAGTAACCACATTAAATTTGTAAGTATGCACTGTGAACAACATAAAAATAGCTCAGGATGCTTGAATCGTTCCAAACCAAACACAACCTAAAAATAATGAAGTTAAATTTAACAGAAATCAAATATATTTAAGATCCAGGAAATGTTGAGCTAAAATAGAGTCACTTTGCTTTGACTCTAAAAAGTTATTTCAGGATCATAAACACTACTCAGATTTTTACCAAGCTAGGATTTTCTTGAGGTTTCATCTATATATTTTCTTCTGTTTGAGATTCTGGCCTTTACAAATGTTTCGCAACAGGCATTCAAGAAGCTATTTAGCCATTTAGAAATGGACTATTATGTCTAGAGCATTTTTCAGGAGGCAAAGGATTGAGGACAAAGGAAATTCTTCAGTTTAAGACATAACCATTTAAGAAGTTAAGCACTGCTCTGCATAAGAGAATTTTGCTTGAATAATGACATTTTTAAAGAAAACTGAGAGATATATACTGCCATTTACTTCACACTTCACACTTCATAAAAAAATCATTCAGTTGCATAACTAATGTAATCTATGATGAGAATCTCTTCTGATTTTCAAACATCAACAAGCTGATACTCAGGTTGTATATTTGGGGTCCATGCTTATATCTTACCTTTTTTAAATTAGTGTGGTTCCTACCAACACTTATCCATAAAAAGACTCAAAACTTCTGAATTA